TGTGTGTGTGTGTGTGTGTGTGTGTGTGTGCGCGCGTGTGAGAGAGAGAGAGATAATTATTATTTCAGGGATGCTAACTGATCTCCTGTTTATCTCTTCTGTGATAACTTTGGTTAAAAGTTAGATGATAAATCAGTGCAAAAAATTATTATGTGAAGAAAATGTGTTGTTTTATATGTAAAATTAAAAGAAAAGTTGGGTGATCACCGATTTTTGTAAAGTTAATGCGAGTTCAGATGTACCAATTTTATTGCTTACAAATGCAGGAAAACCAGTTGAACTGTCATAAGTTGTAATTATAGGTTGAAGACCATGACATTTTAGTACTGCTAGACTATATGCACAGGTGGTGGTATTACAATATTTGGTGGCAGCGGTGGGATTTGATGATGAAGTCTAGATTCAAAACTTTAGGAGACATAGAATTTGATAGGGGTAAAATAGGAACACAGACACATGAAGTCAAGTTCATTAGTACCTAATTACTGTGAGAACAGCACACTGTATGCAACGATCTTTGTGTACTTGATAATTAGTGTCAATTTATGTGCTAATCATGTGAGCTATTTAAAATTACTTTCTAAGGAAAGAGGTCAAAATTCTAATTATGTTATTACTTACAGTATACCAAATACATTTGTATGTATGTAGACTCTTATTTAACTTGTCATCATACCTATGTAAATATATGTAAAATTATCTTAACTTATAGGGAGTGTGAAATAGATTCACAATGTCTGAGGCAATTTTTGTTAAATAACACAGCATAGGATAACATTGAGTTTCCTTTAAAAAAAAAACTACAAAAATTTTCATTATGCCATACTATATATTTCATAGCTAAGTTGTGCAGTGTATGCCATGTCCCAAAAAAGGGAGGTCATTGTTGTGACCTTCATATGGTGCTGTGTTGTTGGCCAAGTTGGATTAATTAGGCAATGGCATAATTGTTTTAATGAAGCATGAAATGCTGTGATTTATTGTCATTAAAAGGCTCTTATGCAGGCACTTATGCATCTTTTTCAAGGTTATGTATATGTGTAGCATGAAAAGAACTTACGAAAAGCTTTTTGTACACTGAAAATGAAGGTTCTCTTGCGTTTTAGCATCGAACCAGTTAAAAATTATTTGTATCCTTTATTATAAGGAATAGGAGCATGCTTAATGACAACATCCACAATACTTTTGATAAACACATTTTATAGAATACCAATTAAATATTGCCATTAACATATTTTAAGGACAGTAATTATGTAAATCTGTAAATAAAATGAAATTAATTTGATATTTGTATTTTGTGATTTTTATGAACAGACGCAATCTGTTACCGTGCATTTTTCACTGTAAATGCAATAGTGCCTTAGCCTCAAATTTTCTGAAGTGATTAATAGCATTTAATGGAGGTCAAGCTCAAAAAGCAGCTTAATTGAACCTTTAGCTCAATTTCCACATTAACAATAGTGGTGGAGATTCTGCTGTAAAATGAAATGCAAAATCATATAAAAATTGAAAAAAGAAAAACATTTTGTGCACTGTCGTTATTTTCTTTGTCTGTACTTTAGACAGCTTGGCATTTACAGCATAATCTCTATTAACATTGTTTTGTATTGTCAGAAAGATTGAGCCCCTTATATTCTATTTTGACCTGATAATAAATGCATTTTTTACGGGATAAAAGAATTTATTTTCAGTTTCTTTACTCAATTAATTCACAAGATTACATTATAGCAAATCCTGGCATAGCTGATCATAGCTTTTAATTCTTATACATCAGGCACAGACAGCTGTGCTGTGACTTATCCAAACTGATTACATATTTGTAATGTAATGTGTACAAGGATGTTCCATCAAGTTATCATACAGCTTAGGTCAACCTTGAACCAATATCCTGGTTCCTTTTATGCCATGTTAGGTCAGCTGTGGAACCAGTATCTTTGGTACCTTACTGTCATGTTACCATACACCAACGGTCAGCTATAAACCAGTATCTTTGGTGCCTTACTGTCATGTTACCATACATCACAGGTCAGCTGTGATTCAGTATCTTTGGTGCCTTACTGTCATGTTACCATACACCAACGGTCAGCTGTAAACCAGTATCTTTGGTGCCTTACTGTCATGTTACCATACATCACAGGTCAGCTGTGATTCAGTATCTTTNAAACGTCAGCTGTGAACCAGTATCTTGGGGTCTTCACAATCATGTTGCCACACAGCATAAGCAAATCCATTGTAAGATGAACTTCCATTATGCCCTCCGGAGATTTTAACAGTGCTACCTGCTCCTATTTCACCCTGAAATGAAAATGGCATTCTCACTCAAATCCCATACCTTCCCCAACATTTCTCATTTTCATTGTCCACACCTTGTCCTTCATGTACAATATTTGCCATCTGTTTACCTTCCTCTCTGTCAAACAGATCCCACATAGCTGAAAGGGGCATTTCCCAACCCTGCAACCAACTATCTATCTTTCTCTGGTCAAAAATGAAAGTCTGCTGTCAAGTTTATATGCAGTTTGGGCACTGCAGAAAGTAACTGTTTGTGAAAGTTTTTTTTTTATTACATGACGTGTCGGATGCACATTTTCTAGGCATATGTTTTTATTTTGTCAATATGATACAGGAAGTCTTCAATTACAAATTTCACAAAATCTATGATACTAACTTCCGTTTGACAAAAATCCTGTAAAAATCATGGCAATGCATAAATTAAAAAAATAAAATAAATCACGGCAATTTAAGTTTCACCTGCATATTCATGGCTATGAGGCCTATTTCTAACGGTGGATCTTCCCCAAGTCTCTCTACCATCTCTGCTACAACACTGGAACAGCATTCTGAGGGGGACAGTCCCTAAAAAATCCACACAGTCATGCACTTGTTTCCAAGTAAAATGTTTTAGCATGACAAAATGCAGCCTATCAATTACAAGAAATAACTGACTTTTACTAAAGAAGAATGAAAACCATTTAATAATTAGAGCACTGTCATCATTATCGTCATTCTACATATTTGAAACCGAAAGACAACACTACCAGTGATGAGTGTAAGAGAATATAAATAAATTCACTCAGACTATATCTGTATTTAAGTCGGGGTGAAACTGTACCTGTTTCATGAGTTGTACAACATGGAAGCTAGGGCAGAATCTCATCATCTTATCTCCGTCCCCAGTGGCACAGGCAGCTCCTGCTTTATCATCTGAAATACAATGTATATTTAAAGGCATACAATGCACGTTTCACTACCATGAAACAACTGACAAATGACACTTTTTCAGTTCACAAGAGAAATCTCTGCATTGTTCCTGGAAAGCAGAACATTACTTGTATTTTTATGAAAGAAACTGCACCTCATCATGCCACTTGGTCAAAGACATGATAAACCATTAACTTTAAATGAATACACAACCATAAATGTACATATCTTAAGTGATCTAATGCCCATTTACATGCACCTGCATAGAGCCCTGCTCCTGGTAAGGGACTGTCACCAACTCTTCCCACAGCCTTAAAAGGAGCACCACTAGATGACACACCTTAGGGACATAGGAAAAGAGAACATGCTCTAATGTTAAATTTTGAAAGAGGGCAATATATGCCCTTAAAAGAGATAAAGATAGCTTTTAACCCTAAATGATGTACTTGAAATAAAAAAAAAGTTAATAAACAAGAACCCACCCAAGCCAAAACAAAATCAAAGTTTACTCACATCATCAGCATGTCACATTCAAGCTGCTGAGATGTTCATTATAGCACTGTCGATGTTAGAATTTTGTCAATGTCATAACAACCATGTTGCCAAAACCACCACAATTAATATCATAGAAAATTAAAATAACACAGAAATACCACAACCATCAAAATGCCATAGCCACAATGTTACAACCATAGCATCATCTCAACCACCACAACCATTAAAATGCCACAGCTACAACAATACCACAACTAAACCAATGCAAATCCTACCTACTGCAATCTGCCCATGCCTATCCAGAGCAATGACACCCAATGTATCATGTTTATCAAACAGGCTCTCATAGTGTACTCTATGAGAGAATTTCTAAAAATAAAATAATAAAAAAGAAAGTACAAAAATCAATAATAAAAAGGCATATACAATACAGGAATTTGAAATTCCAAGTTGCTGAAAATCAATTTTATCAAGTTTACATGTACCAAATATCTATCATAAGTGATAAAATGTGTAGTTTATATAAATGTGCACAATGCATATTTAATAAATAAATAATGCACTGTGTTACAGAAGTCTTGTATAGTTGTCATCAGCTGTGTATTGTGCAAGATACTATAAATATATTGTGCTAATGTGATTGAGATAGGCCACATATTTACTTCATACTCTTCCCTTCCCTGAGCTGTCAGTAGCTGATCATTAGTCTGAGTGGTGAAGCCACACTTCTTAGCAAACTCGAGGGCACCCTGTCCCACTAGTAGGCTGTGTGGCGACCCCTGCATCACTCTCCGAGCCACTGAGATGGGGGTAGAGATCCTGAAATAAAGAGAAGTATAATTTTCTTAATTATGGTTATTAAAAGGGGTTAATTTTCTCTGCACAATGAAATGCCTCCATTCTCAACTTAATTTGTGCTTAACGTCTTTGCTTGTACAAATGTCTTTTTAAAAGTTTAGGTACTACCAATGGCTCACTAGGCTGAATACTCCCTCTGCAACAGACAGTTCTTAGTAGTGGTCTCCTTCAGAAACTAAAGGCCATCAGCTGGGATGTCATAGCCACGAGCGAACTTTTCAATGTTACTTAAAAGTGGCATTTTCATTAGTGTTTAGGTACAGGTTTTCACTGTATCAATGTTTCTTTTTTTTCTAAAAAAAATATCAGAAATGCTTTAATAAAGTATGACATCATATGACATCCACGATAAAAAAAAAACTCATTAGGTACCCCTCGAGAGCAGCCACGCCCCCATACTGTAGTGAACTGCCCTCCATGAGAGCAGCATCCAGCTGTAGTGTTCCTGCAGCATTGGGCATACCTCCCTTCCCCACTAGATACCGTCCATAAGCTGGGTCATCTTCCAGGACTGAAACAGGAGAAAAGGCAATTACATATATATTAACACGTAATTGTGAACAGAAGATGACAGGCTAGCCTCACTATCTTAGGGCGTATTCCCAGAGCTGTTAGATCGATCTATCTCTGCAGGGAGTCTCACTAGATTAGTGTCAGATAATCCGGCTTAAATGTCCATCCTGCCTACTTCAAGCTGTAAGGGGGTAATTAACTTTCGTACCCGCTCGGCTAACAGCTATTTAGCGAGAACCCCCAGGGAGTTAGGTCGATATATATATATAAAAGAAAAGGAATATGTTTTTCTTCGAAATTGCACACTATTCATTTATCTCTTATTAACTGTATATTTTATTTGTCAGACATAACAAAAATGTGATACATGGGCAAAATGAAAAATTACAAAATCTAAATTAAATATAATCTTTTTATTCACCCTGGCCAACAAATAGCACTATCAACATTATATTAAACCAAGTCATAAATGATTTGCGGCGATGACGATCTTCCCGGTGTGAATTGTTTTGTCGGCAAAATATATTTTTATGCTACGGGCTACAGCAGACGATTTTTAGTGACCGGCAGTACACAGATTTCCCAGCGGCAAATCCGCCTGTTCACATACGACCAATACGTTTCATAAGTCAAAACCCGTTAACCTTTCGATAGAACTTACTCCTTATAGATTTCTCTACGGCATCTAGACAAGAATCACCAGTTTGCAGGAGATTTTTGCAAATTTTTACCGCGTCTATCCCAAATGCCCATGTCGCTGCACAGGCTGCCATCAGCAAAAAATGATGACGTAGTGCACAACAGGATATGACGTACTTCACAATACACGATACGACGGAGACAACATTGAGCGAGGGAAATTTAGAAGTTCCTGAAAATTTTCTCACATCAGAGGTAAGAGGAAACTTTTTTTATACAGATTTACATAGTTACTGTAAATGATTATTTAAAGACGTTATATGACATAAGGGGAATCAAAGTGTTCTCGGTTTTGTGTCGTTAGCACTAAAATTCTGTAGACACACTCGTCAGTGTTGATACATTGTACTACCGTAGACGACACTGCAGCAAGTAAACAGGTTTTGCTTCAGCCGCAAGCTATACGATAATTAAGTTTTAAAATCGCGATAAAAATGATGTCACGTTGTAGAATAAGAACTTGATAGCATAGACCGTCTTTTCCGTGTTGTATTCACTTGTTTTGATACATTGCAAGGCTTAGTTTTAGAGGTTTTCTGAAGTTGGGAAATATTTTTTGATTTTAAAAAAAGTTTTCCCTGTCCTAACTTAGTATCAGTGGCACATTTGAAATATTGTGGTTTTATTTGGTCAGCATAGGAAAATGAAATTCACTTGGTCAGATTAAATCTTGGCTATCTGCTTTCAGTTTCAATATAATAGAAAAGCAGTACAAGAAGAATAATGCTCAGAAGTAAATTAAAAATTATAAGTGTAGAAAATCTTTAAATACTCTTTTGTGCCAGCACTTTCATTCATCTACATGCTGAAGCAGAGAATTTTTTTTATTCCTGTTAAGTTTTACACAAACTGGCTATAAAACGTTAACTATCTGAGTTATATTCCAATAAGATAACCCAGGTGTATTACCACCCAAGCAGCTGTTGATATGTACTCTGAAATCAGAATACCCCCATTAAAGCAAGCAACCGATCTCCGAGAGAAATCCTGTTTACCTTGACCTAGTGAAGTATGTAGGTGGGCCTTAATAATGCATACTAGTTCCTGTGTAAACCAGGTAGAGGTTAAAAAGTTAAGGGAAATTACTTTACAGATAATTTGTCACATGTTTATTTTATTTCGCATTTTAAAAAGAAAACTGGGGCTAACGAAGCTAATGGGGTAAGAATAATATAATGTACTAAAAGACATGTTTAGTTTGGTTATTTCTAGTGCATTTTTTAAAAAAGATACTGTCATTATTCTAGTAGTATGTATACTTATTGTTTACTTGTGGTTTTGTTTTGTAGAAAAAAATGAGGCATTTCCTGATCTTTATCAGCAGTAATACTTTTATTCCCACTTCAAGATATTTTTGTAAAACAACATCAAACACTGAACTGTATTGTACTGACCAAACCACAAACATAAAAATAAATGTAATGAGATAAACCAAAATAATAGAACTTAGTAGACTGTAACCACTGTTGAAGATATATCTAGTTAGGTTGAAAATGTAAGGTGTTGTTGCACTTCTACTGATATTTTATTGGGAAATAAACCCCCAAAATTGTGCAATCCTGTTTAGGGGTATATTGGGAGTCCATTATTCTGTGGGTGTATATGTTCCTGTGGAGAGAAAAGAATTACAGAGCATGACAGCCAAGTCCTGGTATATCAACTTTCAAGGTGTGTATGTGTGAATAATCCATGAATAAAACCTGGCCTTTAAAGTAAGCATTCCATCTAACACTAAGAGGCAGCGCTGTGTATGCTGGCCAATCATCCATGTATACATACATCTACATGGTTATATGGAATGGAAATTAATTCAGTCCTCTTAATTCATTTAATTAATAGCTGTGTGTGTACTTAGATAATTGAGCCATTCAGTATAGCTAATAAAAGGGGAAATGAAAGGCTTTAGATGTAATTGACATAAACATGCAGCAGTTGTGTGGTCTTGTGAATGGAAATAAAAGAAATAAAGGTCAGTTTATTCAGAAATATTTGTCTTGTGCATTTGTAACATGTTTCGATGGACTTAATAGTTGGAATGAGGCATTTGTTTCATTTTAGTGGAGGTAGAGGGGGTCGTTGGCACGAATAGACAGTTGACTATCAGGAGAGAAGGCTTCTCTTAGCCAGATTGCACCATGTTGAATATGTGAACAGTGAATATGACAAATTTTCCATTTTTGTCAATTATCACCAAGTAAAAATCACTTTGGTATTTGAGGGAAAATTGATATGCAAGCATAAGACTAGCTATCTATAAGTAGGATCTGAGTAAAAATCACTCTGCATGTCCATGGCAACAAAGAAGATATATCGTAACATCACACACACACACACACAAATGCATACATTTATGCATACACACACAAGCAAACATGCACAAACAAACACACATGCACACAAATGCATGTGCATGCATGCATTCACATAAACATGCATACACACCCACTGCAGTCTTATACCCTGGTCTGACCAGTCTACAAACTTTAAATGGAACCTTGCATGCAGACCTGCAATATTTATATCTGAAAGATAAGAACAAAGTGAAGATGACGGTTGCTAACAACAATATTTTAGAAAAGATAGTCATCAGATAACTAGCTATGGAGAGAGAATTAAGAATAAATTTGGTTACTATGATGAGACACCAGAGATACTAACTGAAGCAAGGAGGCTATTTTTGTAGGAAGCACTTAGAGACCAGATTGTATTGTATTCAGATTTTTTTTTTTTTTTTTTTTTGTTAACTTGGATCAAAGAAATGGGTTAATTTGATTTAAAACGTTTTGACATCCACCTATCTTTCAATCCATTCCTGTTAACTCTCTTTCTCTTTTTATTTTCTCACTGTGTTTTTTCCCTTTCCTCTTTATTCTGATTGACCTTTCTGAACATGTCCTTCCCCCTCTCCCAGAGTCCTGCCTCTTATAAGTTTTTTTTTTTTTTTTTATAAATTAAAAAATAAATTGTACAACAAGCTTTTCTCAGTGATGTTTTTATGCAGTTTTATTCTTGACATTATTTACCTCGAAACTGTATATATATATAAATCTGGCAAGTTGTTTATCATTGTTTTACTTCTATCAGCTGGACTCAGTGAATCATTGTATTATGATAATATCAAGGCATATTTTGACAGATGGCTTGCATGCTAAGTTCCACAGGTTTGCTATATTCCAACAAACAAAACGAACCCATTTGGATCATGCCCAGATGATGATCAAAAAAGGGATTCGAGGACGGTAAAGTCATTGTGAAAGAAAGGCCAGATTGAATAAGAAGCATGCTGGAACTTTCTTAGGAAAATCTTGGAAATTAAAAAGTTGATCAGGTAAAAAGAACTTATAATTTGTAAAGTGTGAGTTAGATTTTACATATTTGATAGGTTACAGTAGTACATGGGTAGTCTTGTTTAGGTGAATGTGAGATGCATTTCTGTATTTAGAGGTGATTAAGATAGCTTTGTATTTTGTACAGATATTTTCGTACAAATTTCTAAATCTTGTAATTAAACCAGAAATAATCCTACCCAGTATAAGTGGACTGCAGTTGGAGCAACCATGGCCTTCTTTTTATTAAGCAAAAAGACTGATTTTTCACTAAAATCATGATTATTGATATATTGAAACAAATAGTCAGACATTTCTCATTTTCTTTAGCCAAGGAAATTATTTTCGACTTGCTGAAACAAAATATATAATGGGATAATACCATGAATTTACAAAGCTAAATACTCAGTATAGGTAATGGGCATTGAGTGTACTAGTACATGTATAATGTACAAATGCATAACCATTGCTACAGACAGTCATCAAATTTGCATTAACATGTATGAAGTAGGCGGACATCATCCATCACCCTGTTGACAACGAACAGAACCAAGGTACATGTACATTAGTATATTCTTTCTATTATGTTACTATTTCTAAAACCAAAGGTCAGTCTAGGTCACAGGATCCAAAGTTCCACTGATAACTAATTGTTCTGTAATTGTGGTCATAAGGCTATGTCCGCAGGGGACACACAGAGGGTGACAAGCTGACGGCCCTCCAGAGAGTGAGTGACAACTCTTGCTGAGCTTAATCTTGTGTATAGCTAAGGGGCGAATAGCTGCCCTGTCTGGTTAAGTACTCGGGAACGCCATTTCAGGTAAAGCTGATGACAGCTCTTTTGAGGCTCAATGTTGTGTATAGCCAGTGGGCAAAGAGCTGTACTGACTGGTTAGGTACTTGGGGACATCATTGGGGACATCATAAGAGTAAGTGACAGCCCTTGTTAATGTTGTGTATATTATAGCCCACAGTCAAAGACCCCTTTCCCATCTCTAGATTGATCTAGCAGGATCGATCCATATCTGATGGGTTTCTCGCTGAGTTACGTTCAGCTTAAGCTACTCTGAGGACTAGCATGCCTGCTGAAGGAGGTTATTTTAAAACTATCATTTAGTTAAAACTATCATTTTGCAGCTTCAGTAGGCGTTCCAGACAACTTAGCCATTTAAGCTGAATGTTATTTGGGGAGAATCCCCTCGGGTCGATCCTGCTAGATCGATCTAGGTATGGGAATGGGGTCAAAGAGTTATCCTTACCAGTTGGAGTAGCTTGGGACACAATTTATTAAGGGTTAGTGGGAAGCTGTTTTTAACCAATCAAGATATAGGCGAGGCATAAGGACATAACCTGGTTGTAAACTTGAAGGGACTTAATGGATTGGCAGTGCCCTGACTGGGTAAATCAGGGCTTGTTGTACTGGAATTGCTGGCATTAAGGTGCTCTAAATGGGCATATCTGTTGTTTAATGAGCTATTAAGAAGAAAATATCACCTGCAAACAGTGGGAATTGAATAGAGAAAACGCATAGAAATGTATGTGTTCCAAGGGTGGAGTTTGTTTCCTTGATGCTCCTTGGTGTAGATGTGTCTATTTCAAGGCAACTGCTGGCTACTGGAGTATATACCAGTAATGGGATATAACTTCTGTATGGAAGCAGAGTTCCGTATTTCTGACAAGTTAAATCCTAAGTTTGAAGGTTAACTAGAAAGCAACCCATATAAATATCATATGACTATTAGTACTAG